TGTGTGTGTGTGTGTGTGTGTGTGTGTGTGTGCGTGTGTGTGTGTTTGTGGTTGGGTGTTAAAATATGAAAAATAATTTGCTTCAAGAAGCAAGGCAGTCCCTGAAATTTCTCTTTAATGGCTTTAAACATGAGATTCATAGAAAAATTTAAAATTTAATTAGAACTCATTGTACTGTAAATAAAATTTCCTTAAATAACTAATTCAATGTGAATGATTATCTGGCGATGTAAATTTATTTTTGTTAGAGAGAGCCCCTTGAGTTTTATGACAAAGAAAGCCTTCTGAAAGTGCTGTCACATATATTTATCATATGGTAACAAACAATCCTAGAGATATGTACTTAAAAATACTAAAGAGAGACAAATGAGTCTAGACTACACAAGGTCGCTGCAGTCATAAAACATAGCAAAGCCTTCTCCTAATGTGAAAAACATAGCTTACAGCTTTAATTTGCATTAATTATAAATCAGTAACATGCTTGTGTGGTTTGAAAAAGCGAGAAAAATTATTAGTTCTCTCAGTCACTTTACGGTGTATTAAGATGTCTGGATGAGTCATTTAGTATTTAATGAGTAGCAAGCATTATGAAGTCAGAAATAAATGTGTACTATGTATCTTTGAATTCATTGCTGCAATTGGAATGAGACACTTGCATATTATGACAGGATTATTACCAGCAATCATGCACAGATATGCTGGGGATGCAAATAACGTCATTAGCAGGGTATTGTAATGAAATAAGGTGTATTATCATTCTTTATGGTGACACAAACCATATTAGCTATGCTCCAACTGGATTTGTAGAACATAGGGAAGTTGCTTTGCTTGGGCGTTCATCACAACTCTCCCGTAAACTAAATGAAAATAATGCTGAATCAATATAAAAATCTATACACCGTAGAATCAAATCATCTTTAGGAAATGCATAACACATGATAATCCTAGGTCTGAAAACAGACTGTTCATAGCACTCAGCAACAAGTATGCAAGATTTTAGAGTTACTAAATCATAAAACACTGGGTTCACTTTGAAACTCATTCAGAATGTTACATTAAGTACATGCAAATTGGAAAAGCCCATTTGGATTCCCATCAAGTTAAAATACCACTGGGCGGTGTGTCTTAATAACCCCTTGGATGTGATTGCTTATATTAATTTTAGTCAACTAAGAGGAACTGTCAAAAATAATATTTAGAATAATCACAATGATTTAAAAAATTCTAATAATAAAAACACACCTTGGAATATTTTAACAGATTTGATAAATAAACTAGATTTTATTTTTAAACCCTTTTCTAGATATCCTTATCTATATATACTAGGTAAAAATAATGAAAGATATTTCTCAATCCTGAAAAATGAAAACAAGAATTGTATTCCCGCTCACATAACGGTCAAAATTTTAAACTGAGATTAGAATCTGAGGATATTAGCATATGCCAAAGAACACATATTATAATTTCTGTAGGTGGCTTAACAGATTAAACATAATCAGCATAAATTATAATTTCAGGTAGTATATAGATTATAACATAAGATTATTTTAAAACTCTTATTAAAATTAGATCACACATATGAAAAATATTAAAATGACACAAAAATGCTTAATAGATTTTTGGTGGCTTTTTTGGTTTCTACTTTTATATGATGCAGATAAGTCCTATGTTGCTTTAACTTCAAATGGTGTCTTCATTCTGAATAGTTCAGGATCCTACACATTAGCTTCATGGTCCATCTTACTAGGGGAGGAAGAGAATTTTCTTCACAACTTTTTCCTGATAATGTCAGGAAGTTCCAGGCATTGAAAGTATTATTGGAGGTTGTAAGCAACATGGTATGTAAAATGGATAAAAAAATTTCTTAATAAAAAAGTATATTTAAAAAAACAGGGGGGAAAAAAGCCAGTCAGGAAAGTCAGTTTTATATTAACTGTTCCAGAAACTGTTCTACCATGAAATTTCCCAAATGTCCCTACTGTATCAGACTATAATCAGCTTTCCTCTCTCCATTCCCAGTATAGATGATTCTCTGGGGATAGTTTAGAGACTATGCGAAGTGGCCATTACAAAGCCATCATTGAATGATGTGGAGTAAATCATGAAATTATATTGTAACTCACACAAATAAAAAGCCAAGAAGAGTTTGTCATTGACATTCAATGAAACCAAAGTTCCTCTGCTTAGTTTCTCATATGAGAACTTGTATTGAATCTGAAGCTTGAAACCATTGATGTAAAGCTTTATTAATTGTGCTTTTAAATCTTCAAGTTTCTATTGATATCCTCTACAACGAAATACAAAATAAAACTAGTCACTACCATAAACACTGTGGACAGAACAACCTATAAATGAGAAAAGTACAAATTAAAATATATAGAGAGAATCAACATAATAATGTTTGTATGACAAATAAACTTTTTTGACCTAATAAAAGGTAGTTGAGTTGATTTGTAAATTGACAATGTGTGTAATTAGGAAAATGTGCATCAGTGGAGGAAAGGGAAACTCTACTTACACATCAGTGTGCTGCATGCCTGTTCCCCAAGGTGACTTCAGAATAGTAAAAGCCTGAAAGCTGGAACAGCTACCCACTACACTGAAGCTATAGAAACACACTGTGAGGATCACTTTAAAGACACATGCAACTGTTGAGACTAAGAAAATTTACAACTCAACTCTTGTTTCATTGAACTATCAATCAGTTTGAATAAAACGATGGGTGAAACAACTAGTTGTTATGGTACTATGCACTTGTGTCTAGAACTTTTAAGCATTTATTAAATTCAATGTTAATATTCTCCAAGTCCTCTCTAAAATATACAAATGAAATGATCTAATGAGATTACTTTTGAAAGTTCATATTAATTTAATGACTTTTGTAAAAATGACATTTTGATTTAATAATAGTTATAAGTTGTATTTATAATTTTAGATTTTCCCAATTTAATCTAGGATTCAGAACATTTTAGTGAATAGCAAACCCCAAGTACTGGGGATAATTAGAATAAACTCCTAAGGTTAATATAATAGTTATCTTTTTCCTAACTAGGTCTGATAAATGACCTGTGTATATTCAAAACTTTCAAGTTTAAATAGCTATTTCCAGATTTATATAACTATCAAAATATATAAACGAGGCATCAAGGTGCATGCCTGGAATTTCAGTACTCAGGAGGCTGAGGTAGAATAGTAGCAAATTTGATGTCAGCACATT